TGGGTGGGAACAGGCCATGAGGGAAGAGTTTGAAGGGCACTTGGGCACGGGGACGTTTTCATTCGTAGACGGCGCGCCAGAGGGCGCAGGCCTGTGAGCTTAAAGTGGTGTTTTAGTTGGAAGACCAACAAGGAAGGGAAGATAGAAAAGTTCAAAGCGCGTCTGGTGGCTAGGGGGTTCTCGCAAGTCCCGAACGTCGAATAATTCCATTCGTCTTCCCCTTGCCCATCATCCGCATCCATTAAACTGATGCTTGCGGTAGCAAACGAGAAGGGCATGAACCTCAATCACTGGGATGTGAAGCAGGCGTACACTCACGCCACGCTAGACGAGGAGGTTTTGCTGAGGCTCCCCGCTGGGTGCGGGGACAAATCGCATAAGATCGTTAAGGCTGAGCGTGCGATTTACGGTCTGAAGCAGAGCGGTAGGCAGTGGGGGTACCACGTTGCTGATACGCTAGTCGAGAACGGGTTCGAGCAGTGCAAGGCGGACCCGTGTGTTTTCTGCAAGATGGTAAACGAAGTCGTGGTATTGATTATCGTGATTTATGTGGATGACATTTTGGTGGCTGGATCTGACGAGGATTGCGAGGAGTTGCTCGCTTCTCTTAACAAGAAGTTCCCCACCAAAAATCTGGGAGAACGCGAATGGTCTGACGGGTGTGCCATCGAGAGAGATGTACAGGCTGGGACTTTTCACATCTCGCAAACCGCGAACATCGACAGCATGATGAAACGCTTTGATGTACAATCGACCTTCCGCATCCCTGCTTCCCCTGGTGTCGACCTAGGACCGAAGCGAGATGACGAGAAGGGAGGGGAGTGGCCGGTGAGGGAGGCCATCGGCAGCATGATGTGGGTGTCGACGTTCTCGCGTCCAGACGTCTCGTTTGCCGTGCGTGCGGTAGCGCGCCACGCCCACGCCCCGGCGAAGAGGCACTGGGATGCCATACAGAAGATCCTCGGCTACCTGAAAGGGACGAGGGACCTCGGCATCACCTACCAACGGGGATCGGGGTTAGGGCTGGCCGTGTACGTAGACGCTAGCTACGCCGACACGGAGGATAAGCATTCTTTGTCAGGGTTGGCGACGACGGTTGGAGGTACCGTCGTCAGCCATGGTAGTAAGACACAGAGCATCGTGTCTCTGTCTTCGACGGAAGCCGAGTACATTGCTGCCGGGGAGGGCGTCAAGGAGGCGTTGTTTGTGAGTGCTGTGCTTTCGTTGATTGCCCCAGAGACCAGTGGTAGCAGCATCCAGGTCTTTCAGGACAACCAGGGGGCCATAGCGTTGGTGCAGAACCCCCTCAGCTCAGGTCGCACGAAACACATCGACGTGAGGTATCATTTCATCCGAGGATTGTTTAGGTCGGGGGATATTTCGGTCAAGTTTGTTCCGACAACGGAGCAACACGCGGACCTCCTTACCAAGGCCCTTAGCAGGGTCAGTCTGCAGTACCACCGGCGCAAGTTGATGAATTTGCCGGAGTAGTTGTAGCAGTTTCTAGCACTTAGGAGAGGCCATGTTTTCCATCCGGGGAATGGCGCAAACTGTTGTGGTCTGGGTACCAATGGCAGGAGTAGGGGGCGTTGGGAGACCATCGTCCGGGGGAACGTAGTTCCTCGCGTTCTTGTCTTCGCCTTGGCCTTTCTATTAAGTGCGGCCGTTGTGATCCGCTGTGATAGCGACGGTTTTTTTGGGGGTAAGGTTTTTGTTTCGAGGGGTTTTGCCCGGACGCCGGGTTTCCCCTCCATATGTTACCATGTTGGTATTTTCTGATGTATCCTGGGGCGTTCTTGCCCAATTGATGGTTAGTCACTTGCGTGAAGAACCAGGGAGGGTGTTCGTGGGTCTGCGAACATTGGATTNGAGACCATCGTCCGGGGGAACGTAGTTCCTCGCGTTCTTGTTTTCGCCTCGGCCTTTCTGATAAGTGCGGCCGTTGCGATCCGCTGTGATAGCGACGGTTTTTGTGGTGGTAGGGTTGTTTTTCGAGGGGTTTTGCCCGGACGCCGGGTTTCCCCTCCATATGTTACCATGTTGGTATTTTCTGATGTATCCTGGGGCGTTCTTGCCCAATTGATGGTTAGTCACTTGCGTGAAGAACCAGGGAGGGTGTTCGTGAGTCTGCGAACATTGCTGTTGGATACATGTGCTGGATGATTTTGTGTCACGCAGACTGGTAAGATAACCGTTTGATAGGGGGCACCGCGATGATTCACGGGGCCCCTCCTTGCTGTGGGAGCCGCTCTTTGAGCACTCCCTCTTTCGTCCGTGTGAAGGACGGTCGTCTACCTCCCGTGAAGTTAATACATCACCAAAACAGTCTCACCCGATAAGTAAGTAGCGTAGGCCGCAAAACAGTGCTTTCGTGTCCGCCACCATTCTTCGGTTCTGCCAGCGGCCGTGCTGTTTCATGTCGATCTTTCGGTGGTACTGCTGTAGCAGGTCGAGTGTGTCACGGCGTGTGTGTGTTCCCCGGCTGTCGGTGTTGTGTAGAGTTTGACACTCCAGCGGGAAACGGATGCACCAATCTTGAAGACCCGGAAACCTCAAGCATTTCCAGATGCGTATGCACACGTACATTTTCAACAGCATCAAACATAGGCTACTGCAAGGGAATGAGTCGTACCCCCGCGGCTTACTTACCCCGCCATACCACCATACCTATTGTTCAGCCAAGTACGGCAGAGAAACACTTCGGTGTGACCTCGGACCAGAGCTCTTCAGTTAGAAAGGCAAGGCCGTTGGGTAGGTGGGGTCTTGCGAGAACGATTTCGTCATGGACAAGCTTGGGAGGTGCAAAAAGGAAGGTAGTGAATCGGATAGGAAAAAGGGAAGGTTGGGGTCAGGTACACAGAGGTCGGCGGTGAAGGAGAATACCTTCACCTTCGAGACTGCTCGAGGTACAAGAACAGATAGAGATACACCAGTCCCGAATCGGCACAACGCACAACAACCTGACACTCGTCATTTCCAGTCATAGAAACTCTTGCCGGGCAGCATATGGTATGGCACGCAGAATATGCACACGCCCACTTCTCTCTCACTTTTCCCTACAAATCGAATCGATGGAAGGTGACCCCTGTATCGCCTTCTTTTAGGGGCATCCTGTTGTTGCTGCTGGTGCTCGTCGTTAAAACCACCAGGAGCTCGTCTTTAAAACCACCAGAAGATCACAACGGCGAGTTCCCCGTGTTACGATACCCCACCAATGGCAAACACATTTTCTACGCCGCGACTACGGTTTCCGGTGCCTGTCTTCGTGAACCGCCTGGAGAAACAAAAGCTGTTACTCAAGCAGACTTTCCGTAGTCGGGGACAGTTAAACTTCTAAACAGGCTGTCGGCTTTGTCTGCGGACATAGAGGACGAATGGGAACGAGTGACAAGACGCGGGAAGGTGACACAAGACGAGGGCATCCAGTAAGAGGTGTCGTCCACTACACACTGGCTGCGGTTTCCTGCATTCGATTCCATTTCTCTGATTCCAGTCGAGATTTATGCCGTCGGTTTTCTCTGTTCCCCCTTGAACGGGCCACGCAAGCTTCCTGGAAGGTTTCACAGCCTCTGAAGCATTTCATTCGAAGTGAGAGCTGAATCCGGCTGCTCCGTGAGGGCAAAAAATGACTTACAATCGGGTTTCAGTGTTTACCCGACGCCGCGTTCCACATGCGTCGCAAACTGCACCCTTCGCGGAATACATCGCGTTATCAAAATACGAAAACATGGTACACGAATAATACGCCCACACCAGGCCCCATGCCAACTTCCATGCGCTTCAATCGGCCTACCATACATCGGGCTTTATTGTGGTGGTTGGTCACTCAACATCACTGCTGTTCTATGCATGCTGTTACAATTTCGTTTGTCGTGTTGTGATGACGGTGTCAGACATAGCCGTGCTTTCTTAGTAAGGCCGCCAGATTCGACGCAGGTACCGCGCCTCTGTTCGTGAGGTGGATTATGGCATCCTCACGAAGGCTACTGCGGTAGTACTCATGTGTGGTTTTGAGCTATGTCAGTGCGCAAGTACGTGGCCGTCCATCGGTCATTTGGATCTTCGGGGTATCTCCGGTAGTGGTATCTTTGGCAAGTTGTCACGCGTTCCGTACTGTCATGTGTTCCGAGGTCCGAATGTGTCTTGCGACTGTTGCTCGCGTGCTTCGGTGCTTGTGATGCACCCTGGTGCCCACTCTCTTCCGTTACTTGTGTCTACGAGGACGACCAATAAAACGACTTTATCATTCCTTCACATTGTCAACCGGGACAGCCGTGCTCATCCAGCAGCACTCGGCTTGGGGCCAATCAACAGCCTCTGCATGATGTTCCTTTCAACACTACCCTGCACAGCTCTGCGGCCTCATCGATGTCTTCACTCCCCGAGAAACATTCAACCCAATGCTGATAATGGGGAAGGGTTCGCTCGAACGCTGACCAATGTATGCTGAAGACGGGGGGGCGTCTTCGAGGCCACAGAGCCGGCTTCTCAGGCCTTCGGCTTAGTCCAAATATGAGTCTAGCCTTCCATCGTGTGACGTACGTCAATGTTGGGCTGGGAAGCCCATTTCTAACGAGCAATGCCATCGATATCAATCAATGTGTACCGTCGCGGCACGAGCATCTCGCACCTCCTTTCTCCGTGCAAGGAGTGCGCGAGGCACAGCCGGCGCCCCAAGTGCTCATCATCGTTGTCTCGAATTACTTTCAGCAGGAGGGCCTCTAGCACGTCACCTCCAGCATCCTTCCCTCCGATGCCAACGAGCCTTTGAGTCGGATTCTCAGTTCTTGGCAACTGCACCACCGTGGACGCGGGGACCAGGACGCAGGCTGCAAGGCTGCACGGTCGCACGCACCGGCTGGCTCTAATTCTTCATACGTTGAGGATGCGTCGTTGTCTCTACAGACTATTTGTCTGTGTGTTCGGGTAATATGGTTGCATGTTCCTTCACACCTCGAGCTACGCCACAGCTTGACAGCCTCGCCGCCGCTAGCCGCTCGACTACACATAGAGGGCTAGCCCTCAGAGGGCTGCGGAACTGCGGAACTGCGGGCGGTGACCAGATGCGGGACACTACACGCCCACGGGACTGTTGAAAACAGCCAGCGGCAAGAGGCACGGTGAAATTCGTGGTCGTCATGGCCACACACTGCGAACGACGCGACACCACCACGATATCCCCAGCAGCTTACCCTCCCCTCCAACCACCACATCCATAGGAGCTGGCTACCACCTTTTGGACCCAAGGTGGACTCGGTTTTTCTTGAGCCTCTTCGCCATCGGCCGGGCTTGACAAGTGCTGAATGAAGTGTACAAGTACTCGAAGATAAACCTGCACCATGGCCAACCAATGCCGGCAACAGCAACAGCAGCAAAGGGTCTCAGAATCCAGCGAACAGCTCAGTTCTAGGGCGAAACTGCGGGGGACGGAGGAAACCATCTTCGATCTCGTCTGTGCTGGGACTAACAGAATGCAGTGGGCGGAGTGGCTGCGAACTCCGCTGGAGCACGCCGCCGGTGCGGGCAACCTCGATCTCGTGACTAAAAGCTACAGGAAGCTGAGGCGGGCGGGAGTGCTCTCCACCTGGCACTCAGAGCTGGCCAGGACGCACTCGCGCGAGAGCTGTTGAGGCTGGGAGCTCCCACGAAGGCGATAGACAACAACGGCGATACCCCTCTCCACCTTGCTGCCGCTGGTGGCCTCGGCGATATCGTGTCCTTTGCTTCTTCGTGACGGGGCTGAGGTGGATGTGCTCGACACCAAGGGCCGGACGCCAATTCACCTCTCGGCGAAGCGTGGATCTCTGTCTGCCGTTCAAGCTCTGTTGGCGGCTGGGGGAGACTCGAGCTTGCGGTACGGGAAGGGCGAGGCGTTTTCGGCGTTGGGTCTGGCTGCTAGAGGTGGGCATGTTGAGGTCATGCAAGCGTTGATTCGGCACGGAGTGGACGTCGACGCCCCTGACTCGAACGGCCTCACGGCCTTGCACTCAGCTGCGACGGGGGATGCGGTGGGTGCGATCGAAACCCTCATGGAGGCTGGGGCGAATATCGACGCCCAGGGTGGCGAGGATGGCGCACGGTACACGCCTCTGCACATGGCGAGCGAGAAGGGTTTGTCCGAAGCCGCTCTATCGCTGGTCAAGCACCGAGCAGACGTGCACAGGTCGGGGAAGATGTCCAGGCGGGAGCGGAAGTGCTGTAACGCTCTCAGCCTAGCAGCCGGCCGCGGCCACATCGCGGTCGTGAAATCGCTTCTAGCTGCCGGCGTGAATGTCAACCTTCGCCCAGCATACTCAGGCGAGTTGGCGTTGGACGCGGCTTTTCAGGGAGGGCACGCCGACATTGTGACGACCTTGATCCAGCACGGAGCGTTTGTCGACGCCACAGACTCACGTGGGTGTACAGCCCTGTTCAAGGTCAGCCTGGACACTAACGCAGCTTTGATCGATAAGCTTGTGGCAGCCGGGGCTGCTATGAACGGGATAGTGAACGCTACAGGTAGAACACCCCTCCATCACGCGTGTATGGATGATTGCCCTGAAGCAATTGTTTCGATGCTACGCCATGATTGCCCTGAAGCAATTGTTTCGATGCTACGCCACGGGGCTCGTGTGGACGCGAAGGACGATGATGGTGACACGCCTCTCCATGTGGCATCGACGGTGGGATGCTCGGAAGGAATTCGCGCGCGCGCAACATGGGGCTGACATCAAAGCGCTCACCGCCAAAGGTCGCACGCCGCTCGGCTTGACCGCCGAGTTCGGCTGTGAAGATGCTACGGTAGTCTTGTTGGACGCTGGGGCAGACGTCAAAGCTCCCGCTAACTCCGCCGATGGATCGGCTGCTCCATCCTTGGCCACCTTGAACGACTTCAACGCCGACGGCATCATGAATGTCTTGATTCAGCACGGAGTCGACGTAAACGGAAAAAACAATGAGGAGTTTTCAGCTCTGCACCGTGCCGCTTATCACGACGACATTGACTGCATCGATGTTCTCATCTCGGCCGGGGCTATCATCGAGGCGACGGATAATCACAAGAGTATGCCTCTCGCCGTCGCGTTTCGGGAGGCCGTTGATCGTGGGAAGGGGGATAACAGTGGTGCTGGGGAGTTCGCGGCCATGATCGCCTTGTTAAAACACGGTGCCTACCCCAACATCGGGAATAAAGGAAAAGGCTATTCGAATTATTTGCTCTACTACCTCGAACGTTGCGAATGCCCAATTTTTGTGCTCCGGGAGCTCCTTGCTGTCGGTCCGAACCTTGACGTCCGTGCCGACGACGGATACACTCCACTAACGGTCTCCCAAGATCACCCCGAGTTGTTCACCGAACTACTGCTGCACGGGGCGGACACGAATGTGCAAACCAAGCGTGGTGCAACCGCGTTACACAAGGCCGCGGAAAACAACAACGGTGTATGCATCGAGGCCCTTACCAGTGCCGGGACCTCAACAAGTATCAAGGACAACGACGGCCGCACCCCTTTTCAACTCGCCACTATTTGCCATAGTCGGAGCGTCATGCGGATGTTGCTAAGGAGCGGTGCGGACATTTCTTCGGCGGACAACGACGGCTCCTGAGCGTTGCACCTGGCGGCAGCTCACGACCGCTGTGATTCCCGTGATTCCGCGATGGCCACGACAATCGACTTGCTGCTACGATGGGGTGCTGATGAGAATGCGGTCGACTCACTCGGCAACACCCCCTTAACCGTTTGGAGAGAGAATGAGTCCACGTACACGCTTTCGTGGGCGAACAAGCAATCTGTGAAGAAGATATTCAAACGGGCACCGAGAGACAAAAGGTGGCGTCAACGCGGCTGGCTAGTTCTGTGTCGTGCCTTCCCAAACAGCGTGCGGCTGAAAGCGGACAGCGATGGAACTTGTCCCGCGGCTGGCCGTAGCGTTCGAGCACGGAGCGTTCGTGCTGGGTCGTGGTCTGGCAGCAGCAGCGTCCCTCCTTTTGGAGAAGCCAGGGGAGGCCCGGTAGGCCCTCTGCCGCGCGAGAAGCATGGTGTTATTGCTGGTGGCTTGAGTGCGCTGGTGGCGAAGGTGGTGGGCTTGCACGAGGATGGCGTGTTCAGGACCATCATGGAGTTCGTGTAGACCCTGAGGTGAGATGTGATTGCCAGATTTCTAGAAGTACAGTATTTTCGGAGTGTATGCACAGGTCCATATGCACTGCGGCAACGTATGTAGATATCGTCTGTTCCGTATTTCAACGGCTGGAACTTGTGGTAGACCGAATTCACGAGGGCATTGATTCACTACGAGAACATTGGTTTGTCGTCCGCCTTCATCAAAATTGTGTCCTGTCCCCCACTTCGTCTCGCCTACCTGTGAGGAATAGCAGCCAACGCAAAGCGTTGGTGAAGGTGAGGGTTAGGCGTATCAGCCACCGATCAATCGACAATAGAAGAACACTTTGCTGTTCCTATGCTTGGGTCAAGTGAAGTGTAAGTGCTGGAATGATACATCTCATAATGTTCGAATTTTGATTCAGAGCCAGCGCCAATGAGCTGTAGATCTAGCGAACGAGTTGAATTCCCTGTTGTACAACAGGGTCAACAACAGGATTCGGTTGCATATGTCTCACAACGTGCCTGCGTGTAGAGTTGGGAGTGTGATCGCCCACCCCGTCGGGCATGCACTCTCCAAGTTGTACATTGAAGTACAGGGCACACTTACACATTTTTTTTTGTATTGGTGTCTGCTAGATGTATGTCGGAATCATGTCCGCGAATCACCTGAATCCGTTTATCTTTCATTATGCAATGGTCCACACATCTCCAAACCCAAAACGGGTATGGATAGCCTCGCGAAAGGTAGCGATTTATATACCATGGAACGGTTCCGCGTCAAGCAGGGCTTGGTATATCCTTGACGAGACTTGTGCAAGGCAGGTGGTGCGTCTGTCGCTTGGATTATGAGTTGAGATGGAACCAGCGCACTGAACTAAGACTGAAATGTCGTGTGTGCACTCTTGTATTCCTCACGTTCGTTGTTCGTTCCGTTTATTTTTCCATGTGTTTCTTGATCTTGCTTGTACAGAGGCGGACTCTGCGGCTGTGAACGGATGTTGCACCCCGTGTACACCCAGGTTGGTCACCACTCGCGCTGACATGAAGAGCGATGAACTGCTTCGTTCACGCGACGTGGTGGGTGCATGGTGAATATAGTTGTACGTTGTGCGTTGGTCGTACTGAAGGTGCTTGACCAACGACAGCTCGGTACGGATGTTGTACGTCGTAACCGTGGTGTCTTCATAACGTACCATCGATTGAAGAAGAACTGCGAGAGCTGGGCAATGTTCCGTTTACTGACGCGGAACTTCGTAGCGCCGATATTGTGAGTTTTCCGGTGCCTCTGTCCCTTGAGTTTGGTGCAGCCATTGCTTTTTTCCTGGCACCGTTTGTCACCATTTCAGGTAGTCATTGGGGCAGTCTTTGTTGCCTGACCACCAGCCCACGCCCTAAATGTGCGTGCGAGAGAGGAGTTGTGTGGGTAATGAAGGGGCCGACAGAGAGCTTTAGGCAGAGATGCTACCTAGGGCAGGACGTGCGATGCTACGGGGTGTGCGCGTGGTTAATTTCGACTTCCCCTGTGATAGTTTCAATTTTGTGTATCAAGCCCTCCTCACGCCCTACATAGCCGTGTTGGCCTCTGGTCGGCGAAAAAGAACCGATGATGCACGCGCCCCGATCTTGCTGGGGGACGAGCATAGATTCTTCACGTTTTAGTTTATTTTTGGAGCAAAAAGCACTTTGTGTAGTTTTCTTGCAATCTGGAAAGTTCAACGACAATGTAGCACACATGTACCGCCAGGCCTAGCGAGGAGAAGCAAAACATTGCACCTGGTCGCGTTGACCCAGAGTAATGACCTGATTGAGATTACCCAGAACATCGAAGGAACATGACTCAGATCATGATCGTGTAGCTTAGAATCGCGTGCCGTGCCCTGCAGGAAGTACAATCGTCAATGTCAAATGTAGTGTGGTCAGAAAGGGAGACTGTTTCCCGGTAGAGACTCCAGACTTCAAAAGGCATCGCCGCCCAGTTATAAGAAAGGTGCGAATCGAGGTCTGTCTTTACGAAGAAGCATGTCAAGCTTCCAACCAGGAGAAAGCGGCCAACTCCCTCCCAGCGAAACACCGCCCAACATGTACCACTACTCACGCTTTCGCTCTCGTCCTTCATTCCGAAAAACAATCCGTGCTCGCATGATCCTACCTACTTGCCCTTTTGTGAAGCGCTCCGATCCTTGTTACACAAAAGTGTTTCTGTTGTACTCCAGTACATGTATGAGCAGGCTTCTCGACGCCCGCAAGACTCGGTTCAAATCGAAAACTAGGTTGGCGACGGGTGGCACCCAGGACACACTTCCCTAGGCTTAACCGGGCACATAGCAAGATCATCCATCACTTGCCCGCGGTGCATGTAGCACGGACGTGGACGCTTGCTACGTGAGTCTCCCTCATGCGTCCACAAGCGTAGTTCTCCTAATGGAAAATTCTTCGGGGTTCAAGAGGGATACCAAGGAATCGATGGGGAACGTCGAAGGAAAACAAAAGCTTTCATTTTCAAGACTATTTGACTGTTTATAGTTTCAAGAATAGATACATCGAAGAGATATACCCCGAACAGGCACCGCCCTGACACTGACACTTCAAGGACGGAACGCGAACTTGCCAGCCAGGGCAGTATGGCACGCAGTACACAAACATGCTCCCGCCCCTTCTCTTTCGTCGTTCTCCACAATCGAATCGATGGATGCCTTCCTGTTGCTAGTGCTTGTGCTCGCCGTTGACACCACGTAAAGACCGCTACGACGGGTCCCTCAAGTTACGATACCCCGCCAACAACAAACAATTCTTCAACGCCGCGGCCACTGTTTCGCTTCTGCGCTTGTCTGCTTTAACCTCTTCGAGGAACAGAAGCTGCTGCTGAAGCAGGCTTTCGTTTGTCGGGGACAGTGAAGTTGCATGTTGCAACAGAGTGTCGGCTCTTTTTTCGGGGGCGAAGGACGACAAGATGACACAAGGCGGGGGAAGTCCATCACGAGTGGTCGTCCACTGCACACACTGTCATTTGAAGTAGCTCGCGGAGGAAACTGTGATGCGAGCTCTTGCCGGTGGCGCATTCTGTACCCCCATGAACTGCTCGCGCAAAATTTTGGAACGAAAGGTTTCATGGCTTCTAAAACGCTTTTCGACGAGCTGAGAAGGGCTCCTGCGAGAGAGTAGGGATTGCCTTCGGTTTCCAGCGGACGTGTCCTATGCGCCCTAAGTTGGACAAACTGACAAGATTCCCTCTGGTCAACGTAAATCCTGCAAATACAACAACAGTGTTTAGCTTCAGTGCCGCAATACACATGACATGCTCAACCCAACACAAGAAATGTCTCTTCACCTTGGTCAATCAACATCAGGTAATTCTCTTTGCTTGCCGTCATGTTTGGTCTCTCACGTTGCGATAACGGTGTCTGACATGCCATTCCTTCCAAGCAACGCCGCCAGGTTCGACATGGCCGTCACGTCTGTGCACGCCGTTCCTTTCAGCGCCGCCCTGCAAAGCTTTGCGGCCTCTTCGAAGTCTTCACTCGGCAGAAATAAAACACAATGAAATCGATGAAGCGGGGGGCGCGGGCGGGGGTGGGAGCGAGCTCCAGTCGTACACCCAAAAATAAAGACGAGGGCCCCTTCTTTGAAACGACAGAGAGCGGGTTCAGGCACGCGGCTTAGGTTAAGTATGTACAGTCTTCCATCATGTGAGGTACGTACTTTAAGGATAGATAGAAAGGACCCATCTCTAACGAGCAATGCCATCGATACCAACGTGTGCTATTTGCATCACCCCACGAGGATATCGCACCTCCTTCCTCCGCAAGTGTATGCGCCAGGCAAAGTCGGGCCCCCGAATGCTCCTCGCTGTCTCGAATTACTTTCCGCAGCAGGACCTTGGCCTCTCGCACGTCGACACCTTCAGCCTGCCCTCTAATGCCAACGGACCCCTCTGAAGCGCGTTTTGTACGTCGGCGTTGGAGGAGGAGCTTGCCGAGGTTGAATTGCGCCGTTGTGCTGCAAGGGGGGTTGAAGGTGGGGCGCCGCCAAAAGATTGTTTTTACCCGACGCAGAGATGGTATGGCATCAGCGATAGTGTGCAAGCTCGCCAGGAGTAACAGTAGTTGGTGTACCTGACCTCTACTCACCAGTCCGGATCGCACCGAATCGCCTCCCTCAGGTTCTCGAGTGCACCTTCCAAGTTATTCTCAACCATAGCCAGAAACCGCCCATAGTCTGCTCGTGTCAACGCGTCAGACGGGCTAGATCTCACTGCCCGCTCGAATAGCTGCTTCGCCTAAGGTGGCAAACGTATTCTTGCGGTGTTCAGCGCAGTTGAGCTGCGCGGTAAGAAACTTGGATTGCCAATACGGAAACAAACTGGATCAGAACTCTCCTTGCTCGGTGGGGATGGGGGGGGGTACGTGTGAGTGTTAGTCGCGTGTGCCACCCCATTGCTTCTGGATGCACATCCCTTTCGTACCTTCTGGTATGTTTCTTATGTACCAGCCGGGTCACACAGGAGACGGCCAGACAGGAGATTTGTTTTTTACCCTTTTCCTTCCTTCTGCGGTGCTCTCCTCAACAGTAGAAGTAAGTACTGTTGTTCACGAGAAGGGATTAATCGTTGTTCCTTTCCCTCGTCGACCGTGAAGGCGAACTTTCGACACATACATGAATAACCCTTATCTACACATTTTCGGACCCATGAAGATGCGAGAAGCTCCCAGTTCCGTTCACTGTTCCGACTTCCAAACTCACGTGCCTAAACGTCAGAGGGTCGCGAGGGTACCAACTGCACCAGTGCCAAACAACTTTATGTCCACAGTTGACCACAACCTTCGCATTTACCTCAGAATAGTCACCGTTCTTCGTGGTCTCTTCCTTGAGGACGGCAAGGTTGTACAGAGCGTAGCTGTGTTCAGAGTTGACTTCTAAGCATTGTCGATACATCGCCTCGGCCCGCTGGAAAACCGGTTGTTGTAAACGTAAGAAAGGGTGGACAAGCGATCTGAAGCACGGTTCCATCCTCGGCGGTTGAGAACGATACAGTCCTCGCAATGTTTGCAGTGGCTGCGGATACCTTTACCAGTAAAGTGCCAGGAACGTGCAACTGCTGTGTTGGATCGCGCGTTGATATCGGGATGCAGGTTCTTTACCAGCTACAAGAAGAGTATTTTGTCGCAGGGACGAAACGATGTGGTGGTGTTGCTGTCGACGTGACAAACGATACGTCACTCGACTTGTTTTTGGTATTTTAGGGCGGGAACTCCCTGCAGCCATGCGAAAAAACGCGTTCACGTTTGTTTCAGCTTTGTGACTGACTTATTGTTCTCCTACGCACGGAACCGTTGTCTAGGGTGACACACTTGTCTGTCCACCGCCCACTACACGTGGCAGGGTGGTCTACTCAGCCTCTAGGGGAAACACGTTCTCTAGCTTCTTCCCTCTTAGGGGATAGCAACGGGTAGAAAATGAAAAGTCCTCACCTCCTGTTGCTTCAGGCTACTATCGAGCAAGACGGCGTAGTTATAGATTGAGTTGGCATGAAAGGGGTCGATCGCGCGAGCCTTCTTGTACAACGCCTCCGCTCCGACAACATCTCCCCGCTTCTGATGCGACACAGACCGACGGAATTTGGGATGGAAGCGGTGATGAGGCACCAGTGGGGTAAACAGGTACACATTGTGCGTTCAGAAGCAGAATGGTCGGTACCGTCGGGCAGGGGGCTCGAAGGGTTGGGTATAGGCAGCGTTCGAGTTTCTGTTGCGTACACGTACAAACAACCGGGGGTTCTTCTTCAATGCCCACGTTTAAGTATTTCTTATTTCTCTGTGTGCCCCTCAATCAATCGTGTCAGAGACCAAAACCGATGGCAACAAATGACTTTATGTCAAAGATCGGACGGTGCCAATCCACTAGTCTAGGGTTTCTCGGAGGGTCTGCAACGAAACAACCGTAGTCAGTAGACTACCGTGCAGGACTTTTCTATTGAAGCCTTGATCCGTGCGTGCCAAAATGATCCCAAATTCGTTTTCTTTACCTCAGCGAGAAATAGCCCGAAGTTGGAGAAATTGTTTGCATTGACGGGATCGGCGTGCACCGCACGCTTGTACAACCCTTCGATTTTGTCGAGCAGCGGCGCTGAGGTGCAGGGCTGCCCGTGCAGCAACACCGCCAGGTTGCCCAGACTTTCCGCATGCGACGGATTTGCGGCGATGGCTGCTTCGAACAACGTCTTGGCCTTAGAGCGAATACGATGGGGTGACAGCGCGTTTCAATTGAAGAGGCAACTCGTGGGTCAGTGTAGAGATGGTGCCAATGATGTTCTGAGTTCCTGATCCCGATCATCAAGCAAGCAAGGTTCTCAGTGGAGTTGGTAGAATGCAGGAGAGGAGACAAAAACGGAGAGGAAAGCAAAAACACTTGTGCACTCTTGTCTGTACATTGGTCTGTGTAGTGGAGCAGTGCAGCGCACACAAGCAAAACGTGTCTAGCACTTTCAAAAGAAAAGTAATGAACTTGTGCGCAATGGAATGCGCAGCTCATTTTTTGAGTCCGCGTGACTCTGCCGTATCGTGCGAGGCACGACTTGGTGACCTATGTTCGCCAGGCACCGGATTGTACACAACAACAGCACGAGATTCCACACCCTGGCAGGGAATTGTTGAGGTATGCATACCTTCTCGTAATCGTTTTCCACGTGCTTTACGAAGCCCCCGTACTTGCATAATATGGACGAGTGCGTTGGGTGCGCTTCCACCGCCTTCTTGTATGCGGTTGCGGCGGCCTGTGGGGAGAAATGATTTGGACGGCAAACAAACGTCATCATTCCGTTGATGGAACCTTTCCTAGGCTCGTTGATGTTGAGTTGGCAACCACATGTTGGTTGCAAAAGAGTTCACGCTGCTGTCCAGTCCCGGCTACATGCATAAAATTCTCACACGGTGGTCCCGCTTTATCTTGTGCAAGAATACGGCGTAGTTTCCCATGGCCAACGCATCTCTGTCGTTAATCCGCAACGCCTGCTTGTACAGCCGCTCGGCCTTTGCTGCCCCCTCGCTGCCATTTCCTTCCACTAGCGCCGCGTACCACCCCATGGCCAGGCCTCTAGTCTCGCCGTCGGACGACGGAGATTCATGCTCGGTGGCGTGGTGCGGGCATTTCAGGGCTTTCTCGAATAACGATTCAGCCTCGTCGTTTCGATCGAGGTCGGCGAGGAGGTGCGCCAGGGCGGTGAGTGTGAACAAGTCTTCTTGCTTGGCGACGGCCGTTCTGAAGCTGGACTCCACGCTGTCCACGGCCAGCTGGTCCTGCCCTACCATTGAGAACTGGTTCAGCATGTAATATGGGCGTTGGTCGAGCGCAAATCTTGGTTGGATGCGCGCGATCTCCGTTCTCCGAGATCTGGTACATCGTCACAGCGTGTTGCCCTTGACGGTTTCATGTTTTCACGGACCAGTTTTTTTTTTTCTTAACATGACAAACGCATTTTCAGTTTGGTATGCATATGTGCGGAGTTGCTGTTGATGTTGTTTGTTGTTTTTCTTCACATTAAACTCGTGTCAGTTGCTAATCCCAAAATCTAGCAAAGACTCGGTCCGTGGTCACAAAAATGCCAGAACCATCACAAGATGTAAAAAACACACAGACTATTTAGCAAGAGAAGGGTACGCAAGCCCGAGGAGGTATATGCGGCTGATGTGCGGGCACACGGGAGTGGCCTCACCGCTTAAAATATACATACATAGACTATATATATAACACAGCAAGTCCATATTTTATCATAGAAAAGAGTCAGAGACAGATTAACAATGAAATCATAGCGCCAGAGAAAACTACCTGTATGTCTACGGTTTTCTAGACAGCATATACGGACAACTCCCCTGCGGCAACTCCCTGCGGGTGACAGGCTCAACAAATCAGTTTGGTAGCTGTCTTCTTGTGTGCCTCATGTATGTTAGTCTATGTTGCCCTTCTTCCCCTCGCTCCTCGACAAGCTTTTGCTTAGACATGGGTTGTAGTGAAGGGGGGGGTCTTTCTGGCGAGCAGGGCTAGACTCACCCTCAAGGGATGACCGAAACCTTCTTGCTGCTGCGCATATCCGCCGCGAGGCATGCGCGTGGTGGTGTAGTTGGGTCGGC